TAATATGTTCATTTCACAATAGCAATTCTGATCCATGACTATTGGGAGGTTATTTTTGTTTTTTAATTTTCTAATGTTCTCATCTGACTTCATCCTTTTCTTATTTTCCCTTCAGTCCATCTTACTGCTCTGGCCGGTTTCAAGCACCATTTCTGAAGTAAGAGAAGAGAGTGAGGTGTTCACCTCACCCGGTTTCTCTACTTCGTGCACGGTTAGCTATCAGTCTGTAGTATACAGCTTCTGCTACAGTCCTTCTTTACCATTTGAGAACTTTACCATCAACATATGTGAAATTTTGTTAAAAGCTCTTCTGCTTTAACCGGTGTTTTATTTGTGCCGTTATTACATTTGCTAGTGTATATGTGTTGAGCCGTCCTTAAGTTCTGAAATGAGATCAACTCAATCATGATGTGCGATCTTTCACACACACAGACACAGACACAGACACACACACACACACACAGAGATTAAATGTAGCTATAGTTGGCTTTGAACTAAGTAGCTGAAAATTATCTGAACCTCCTAAGTGCTAGATTATAGGCATGTGTCACCAAGCTTGGCTGCTTGCACTTGTCGTTGAGGGCTTTCACATTGGTTTGTCAGTTACTTTCCTCTCTTAACTATAAAACCACACTGTTGACTATTTAGCTCACACTTCTTTTCTCAGCCCATTCTCATGGAAGACTCTGATCTGCCTCTCTGGAGCCACGGACTCCATAACACATCCATCCAAAACGAAGGCTCCTTACCTTTACAGGCAGTGTGGTTCAAGGTAAGAGTTGAGAAGTATGTGTTCGATTTATTAGACAATGTTGTTTCTGCTCCCAAGAATTCTTCCTTGTTGAGTAAAATTTACACAACTAAGACTGAACTCCCTCTCAAAAAAAAAAAAAAGAAAAAAAAAAGAAAAAAGGTTCAACAAATATGAAACAATAACATTCTTAAACCAAAGGCACAAACCACACTTAATAGAGCTTTAAACAAGTTCCACCTTCTCAGTGTCAGTGTGACATCCAGGCCTCAGGACACAGATGCTATTCCTAAAGTCACATGAGGCAACATTTTAAGGCCTGAGCTTTTTAGTCACTGTTAGCTCAAAGCTGCCCCCTCAAAATGGCAGTGGTGAGGCCAATGTCCTAAAAAGGATTTTGGCTGGGTAATTGGAGGCTTAAAGGTGAGTTTCTGCTAACCAGGGGGAACCTCTCTTAATATTGACCCCAAAGGTCAACTACCTTGGGCAAGGGATCTGGTTCCCTGTCAACATGAACAGTCTGTATCAGCTCAAAGACCTCCATCCTGCTGACTGAAAACCTCTTGCTTTTCCACCATTTTGCTGCTTTCTGCCCCTGCCTCCTCCCTGCCTTGGCAGTTTGATTCCCAATGAACCTTTCTTTCTACCCAAAGAGTGGTCCAGTTGAATGGTTTCACTACACCTTACATTTGGTACTCAAATCCCGGAACTAAAACAGTCACCAAAGATGGAACTTCAGGTGAAGATGCATATGAAAATTCAGATCAAAGGATACTAGTCAGTTTAAGAATATCAAATCATCCAAAAGACTGTGAAAAGCTCACAGAGCAGTGTAGCAACAGGCACTTACGTGGAGTGCAAAGAAACTATACTTGGCTTTAGGCATTTTTCATTCTGGAATCATGTAAATTAGAGAGGGAAATTAAAACTACAATTCCTGTCCTTTAAAGAACAGCATGTTTAAATTAATTAGGACACAGAGCTGGATATGGTGGGGCATGCTTTCAATACAGCACTGGGATTGTAGGAGGAGGATCAGGAGTTCAAGGCCAACCTTGGCTACATGAGAATTAAAAAAAAAAAACGAAAACGAAAACCAACCAACCAATCAGTTTCTGCCCTTCTAATAAACTGTCAGAAAGAATACTGGCATTTATTACAAGTTTTAGTTCTACACATGGGTAGCATGAAAGAGGTTCAGAGTTATCAGTGGCTTTCATGTTTGTTTGTTTTGTTTTTAAAGAGCAGAAAGACCTTTAAAAAGTCAACAGGCCCAGCTCTGCTTGCCCAGACACAAGTGGAGTTCACTCTTCCATGCCTCCCTCTGGGAAAGACCGGAGCTGCACCGAGGAACGCTGCAGGTCAGAGAGAGAATGAACCAATCAACAACAACCAAGAGTGCGGCCTGCTCAAGTGCAGGCCAAGCCCGCTTCCTAGCTGCTGCTGGAGCTTCCTTTAGTGTCTCATCCACAGACAGCCAAGGTGCAGACATTTTAAGTATAAGTAAGGTCTCACAAAAGACAGATAGGCTTCTTGTACTTTATTTGAGTTATTTTCAAATGACAGTTACAAAAGCTTTTAATTTTTATAATACTCTTCTTAAGAAAATAAAATTTAAATAAAAATACATTCTCAACAATACAACACGGTTACACAGATTCACTATATTACGTTCTGATAACTTACATTTTCAAACTAAACACTGTAAAAACCAGTATTTACTAGCAACATATTAATTCCCAAGTTAAAAATGAAAGCAGATAACAACAACCAAGATCAGTCATGTAACTCTAGAATGAGTTTTGCATTTGTCACATAGGTGAGGACACTAGAGAGCTCTGCTGAGTCCGTCTTTACAGGCTACTCGATAGTAGTTAAAGCAATTTAGAAGGTGCGCTCACTTAAAAGAAATCTGTTTTTAAAAACCTAGCTTGAATGAATTTTTCCAGTAAAGGAATGCAATCAGGCCTTGGAAAGACAAACAAACCCCAGCCATCAGTCACATGGTGTTTTCTGTTGGTAAAATAAGAGCCCAGTTTTGATGCTTAGCTATTACCCGTGATATTACAAACATAGTTCTTTGGTAAACAAAATAGTTTGATTTGATAAGTTATATTCCTGGGAGTAAAAAAAACCTTTGCTGTTGCCCAGTGTCTTATCAGATGATGATCTAAAACAGAGCTAAACAAAGTACACAAAGGTCAGTACAATCTCAACAGATGGGTACAGCTCCACCGGAGTCACAGCTAGCGAGTGTCTGTGCTAAGTCTCCCCCATCATCTTCTGAGATATCTAGGTTGTTTTCAAATGCTCTTTGTAAAAGGCAGAGAAAGGAGATCATGGAGTTAAGACTCAAAGTACTCAAGAACATAACACAGGAGAAGACCCCTAGAAGGGCTGATTGTCTTAGGGTCCTGTGAATATAGTTTCTGACTGGAAAAGCCTTAATCTAAAGAAAATTAGTTTTGCATTTCTCTTTTACACTGTGTCAAGGTGGCTAATTAATTCCAGTCAAGCTGGCTGTTTAAAGGGTCATGTGAATAAGAGATCTAGAATATTGAGCTCTCAGAGTTATACATGTATACAGCTTTGGCCCCTTTGACCTTATGATCATTAAAAATATTTGTAATTGAGAGTTTGATATTAGAAATGTTAGGCGAGTTGGATATGGTGGTGCACACATTTAATCCCAGCACTCAGAGGCAGAGGCAGAGGCAGAGGCAGAGGCAGAGGCAGAGGCAGAGGCAGAGGCAGAGGCAGAGGCAGAGGCAGAGGCAGAGGCAGAGGCAGAGGCAGAGTTAGAGGCAGAGGAATTTCTATGAGTTCTAGGCCAGCCAGGGCTATATAGTGAGACTGTCTCAAAACAAGAAAAATCATTAGGAAATCATCCTTCTTTTTGGGGGTGGGGTGGGGGAGAAAAACCCCAAACGAAACAACCAACAGATGACTCAAAACCACTCAAGAGTCTTGAACTCTTTACGCCCCTGGCTCTCGTCCTTTTCAGGTAGACATTTTGGAGAATCTAAGTAGGCATTTTAATACGAGGTTCATGATAAATTTATTAAATGGCTAATCTTTAAAAAAATCCCTCTGTAACAGTAGAGTTAATTAGATCTGTACGTCTGTCAGATTTAAAGCACTCTTTTACACTTTAGAATAGACCAGGAGTCACAGCCTAGCACAGTGCAGGCCAGTACTGACTTAAAAGTCATTTTTAAAAAATACATTTTTCGGCCGGGCAGTGGTGGCGGATGCCTTTAATCCCAGCACTTGGGAGGCAGAGGCAGGCAGATTTCTGAGTTCAAGGCCAGCCTGGTCTACAGAGTGAGTTCAGGACAGCCCTGGCTACACAGAGAAACCTTGTCTCCAAAAAAAAATTCTTTTTTCAGTCATGATTTTTAATGGGACAATTCTCTGTGTTAAAGACAATTTTCTGTCTTTGAAAGAAATACCTAACGAAGTAAAAATAGTTACCCAGCAACAACACAATTGGTAAATATATTCTGAAATACAGCTTAAGCTCAACGAAATAGGTCACAGCTAGTTAGACTTACACCGATGAGTCACAGTTTTCAACAGGAACATATGTAAATACCCCAAGGTTCAAAGTACCACACTCAGAAAATGTTTTTAATTAAAAAAAGACAAGTAAGTACCATAGTTTTTAATACTGATGAAGCCACATATGCCACTCCTCCTCAGGGAGCACTGGCTTCAACTGCTTATTTACAGTTAGGGTTTTTAGGACCAAAGTAGAGTAAGGAAAAACAGGTATTCCAACAGGTGCTGCCCCTAATTCCCTTTGGCTAGCAGGCAATAAGGAAACAGCAATACAATATCAACATTTTCAGGAAAGCACTGTTCAATATTTAAACACTGATCATTCAACTGATCAAAAGATAGATACTTTGGAGTATCCAAACTACAATCTGGAATGTGCCAGATTATTAAAGTGCGCCAAGTGACCATTCTCGAGTTAGAGCAGGACCTAACACTATGGGGGGTATCCTTATACACCCTTACTATGACATGGAACAGAAGGCAACGTCAAGCCACCTCCTGACTACTTACTGATTACTTCTCTTCTGGTTGGGAAGAGATGCCCTCAGGACAAACTGAATTCTCTAATTAAGAGAGTACTGAGGCTGGAGAGATGGCTCAGCGATTAAGAGCACTGACTGCTCTTCCAGAGGTCCTGAGTTCAATTCCCAGCACCCACATGGTGGCTCACAACCATCTGTAATGGGGTCTGATGTACTCTTCAGGTGTGTCTGAAGACAGCTATAGTGTACTCATATAAATAAAAATAAATCTTTTTTTTTCTTCTTTAAAAAGAGAGTACCTGGTAGCTGAACAATGGAGAACACTTTAGTGGTCCACTGTCTCACGCACTATCGCTCATGACAATGTAAACATGGTGCACACAGAAGCACACATTCCCTGACAGCTGAGCACTCTCACACCTGTGACCAGGCCAGACACCCACCAACTTTCAAAGGTGTTCAGACATCTTTGTGTCTGTCTCTAACCTGTAATGGCTAACACAACAGAGAAAAAGGTTTTGTTTTTCTTTTTCTTTCTTTTTTAAAGATTGAAGGTCCAGATGAACTTGATGAGAAGTCCTGACCTGACAAGGAACTGGAATTCTGTAGTATACTCGGTGTTGGCAGCACAGAGCAGGCACTAATGGCAGTGAATGACACAGGAGTGCTGCACATAGAGACGGCTTCTTCCTGCTGAGTGCTCCCTTATTACAAAGCTTCCTGGGGAGCTTCCTTAGAAAGACCCTTTCTATCAAAAGGAAGTTGTAGAGACATGGATTTGGATGCACGGATATGAAGGAAATCTTGGGTTTCAAATCAGGATCCCCAAACAGTTAACTTCAGTCATTAAATATTAAATACACTGTGACAACAGGTGTCATCAAAGCCAATGTCCGCTTTTACATACTATGAACAAAACAGGCTGAACTGAAGAACTCGATGAAAAAGAGTATTTTCCAGTTCTCCATCAGTTGGTTAAACTATGATATTTTTCCAACAATTGGATTTTCCCTACAAAACAGTAAAAGAAAAATACTCTTTAAAAGAAATACACAAATTAACAATGTGATATACACAGAACCCACCAAGCACTTTTAATTTTCCTTGGCTGTTAACGCTGAGTCTTGTTTTATGAATTCAACAAGTCTTACTGATGACTTACCATATTTCAAGTAGTATTCTAGAAGCTAACAGTACAGTGCTGAACAAAACAGACAAGGAATACATAGAGCTCACATGATGACATAGGAAAAGAAAATAAGCAAAATATTTAGTGTAAGAAGGTTTGTTTGTTCACTGTTGCCCCTGCCCTGCCCTCTCCCCAGTGCTGAGAATTGTATGCTAGGCAATCACACTAACACCAAGGTATTTTCTCAGCTCAAGACCTCCCCTATCCCAATAAAGGAGGAAAATATATGTGTGAAGTACACTGCAAGGGACAGTGGGTAAGGGTGCCACCAGCAATGAATTGTTTTGTTTTTAAAGATTTATTTATTTTATGTGAGTACACTGTAGCTGTCTTCAGACACACCAGAAGAGGGCATCGGATCCCATTATAGATGGTTGTGAGCCACCATGTAGTTGTTGGGAACTGAACTCAGGATCTCTGGAAGAGCAGTCAGTGCTCTTAATCGCTGAGCCATTTCTCCAGCCCCGAGTTGGTAGTTTTTAATAGAAAAATTAAAGTTGGTTAGGGTACAGTATGTGTGGATTATATTTAAGGATGGTCAAGCCTTGGCTTGGAATTTTGAAGGACTTCAGGAAAACTAGATTAACTTTTGTTGAATGAGACTCAATTATACTAATGAAGAAAATACAGATTTAGGTTGTTTACAATACAACCTTCGTAATGTACCAAGCTTTCTAATAAGAAAGAATGTATTCATATCAATAAAATTGATTTTTCTTATTCAGAAATATAAAAGTACTGACCAACATAATTTCAAAGACTATTTAAAATAGTGCAGCAGGTCTTTGAGTCCTTGCACTAATGGTGTGTTCTGCCTATAAAGTAGGAAGGAAACCACGCTAGGCTGGGATGAGGATCAACGACAGAGGAGCAGACACTGTGGAGATACTGCTGTTTGCTGGTCCATGAACCAAACTTTCCCATGTACTGTCTTACTAGCAGGTCCCTGATCACACTGAGTGCTGTGCAGCAGAGAGTGCTCGAGGATGCTCTAGACAAATCTCTTTTTCTCACAATAGGGAGGACATAGTCTTTTCTTTTTCTCCCTAAGGACATTATTTTAAAAAAGAAAATGGGGCTCTGAGCTACTGTGGCTCTAATGGTAAGAAGAGTAGAGGCTCAAGATTTAGATGATCTCAGTGGGGAGCAGCTCCAGCACAGGGCTGAGTGGGGAACTGCTCCAGCACAGGGCTGAG